TTTATTACAGCTTCAGTCTGTAAGTGTTGCATGACTGTTCAAAGTTTATTTGAGGACAGCATCTGTTTGTTATAAACTAAATGTACCTCAGTTGTGACTGTTCCTTTCAGCTTGTTTTGTGCCCTCTAATGTAAGACGTGTGGTTCCAGCTCCAGACAACACATTCTGCAGGACATTGGTTTGTGTGGGCGCACGCTCAGCTCAGACATGACAACAAACTTCCTGACGACTCGCTGCCTGTCATGTACATCATGTCCTTTGGTGCTTCATTACGCTGACCTCAAATTGTGGGCGCCACTCTCACACAGTGCAGTGTGCGTGTGTGTTTATGAGTGTGTGTTGGGATGTTGTCATGGTCGTCTGAGGAAAACAGTGGCTGAGTGTGTAGTTGTCCCCCCAGCATTGTGTAAGCAGCAGATGTTCATCACAATCTGTCACAACTCAACTTCCTGAAAAACAACATCAGATTTAACAACGTGGTACAAACATTTTAAACCAGCCCTCCTTATATCGGCTTTCCCAAAAAGAAAAGGCTGATAATGTTGACTGTGGTGTTTTTATCTTCTTTTTTTTGTCTGTTAGTAAAATACCTTCTGACCCCCATGGGCAGATTTTATTAAAACTTTCACAGAGTAATCACGCCACAGCTGATTAACTTTTGGAGTTTGGCTCCAAATTGCAGTGAAGCATTAAAGTTCCAGTGACATCTTTTTTATGTATATCATAAATATGAATATATTTTTGGAAATATAACACTAATAAATTATTGCTAAACAAACAATTTTAAAAAATCACAATACTGAGATGAACAGTTGTTGAGATATTTGGATGTGATGTAACAGGAAGTGAAGTCAAAGGGGAATGTCTGTTGATAGAACATTGCTAAAAAGGTTAAAATCAAAGATCGTAGAGAAGAATTTGATGTTTCTTTAGATAATTTTGAGTCACTATCAAAAAAGATGAAGATGAAGAGATGAAGAGTCAGAGTTCAAAGTTGTTCCAATAAACAAAGAACTGGGAGTTCCTTTTCTTAAAGACTTTGATGTCACTTCCTGTTTCACTTTGAGCATAATTTAAAAGAAAATATGTCAGTTATATGACAAAATGGGCAAAATATTYTATTTTATATCATGTTAATTCAATATACAGATGTTTTCTTTGACTTTTTTGTATTTGAAGATTATGCATGCCACAGACCCTTTAAGCTCAGTCAGTTTCTCTTTAATTCATGCAAACATCACCCGTGTAAGCCAGGCAAACAAAACCTCTCCATTGTGACATGCCTTTTAATCTGCATGTGAATTTAGGTGACATAGCTGACCCACATAGCAGACAGGTGTGGGCCAGATCTGGTGTCATGCTGGCGTGACAAGTGGTTAGTCAACCAGATGTGGGCCAGGTCTGGCAATGATGGCACTGCTTTTGAGGCGGCACATTTAAGTGGTGCTGGCCCAAGCATAGACCACCTCGGGCTGCTTCACACTACTACATCTGGGCCACCAAAGAGCCAGCATTCTTTGTGGTAACTGAGCTGATTGTGTGGGCCAAAACTTGGACAGACAAGTTTAGCRATGTGAGGAGTTTCATGTGTAATTTAATAATTTTATACAGATGTGAGAAAACTCAGTTGGGTGGTGGAACATCTTCAATAGAAATCCGGTCCTTTTGATATTTGAATCTTTTTTGGATTATCACATCTCTCTGAGGTGGGACTAGGGYAAATGCAAACTAACAGATAAACTAAACTTTATTTCAACAAAAACCTGTCATTGGCAGCAAAATCTTAAAATAAGTGAAAATCCAATGCAAAGAGGCACAAAGAGAGTCAAGGAGGAGCAGAGAGAACTGGACTTGGTCTAAAAAGCCATAATTCTCCAGTGGGGAGTGAATGGAGACTGAGAGGTGGAGACACCTGAGATACGTCCTGATGCATCTCAGTAATCCGGGTAAAAAATCAAAAAGAAAAAAATTGTATAGGTCTTCTGGACGGGTTCTTCTCTAATGAAARGTTTCGTCTCTCCTCCAAGAGACTTCTTCAGTCTGAGAGTTTCAGGCAAAATTCAGGCTTTTAAGCCCTGCCTCCATGTGACTGATACTCACATCACATGGCTGTCGTTGACACCTAATTAACACCTAATGTTAACAGGGGGTGGAGTGATACTGGCAATAGCTGCYCTGTAAGAGGGGGACAACTGAAAACGGAGGCCTCCACCTCTGTTTAATGATGGACGGTCTTTCTTCACAAAAATGGCTTCTTTTACTCCTCTCTCAAACCAACGTTCCTCTCTATCAAGAATGAGAACATCCTCATCTCTGAAAGAGTGACCGCTGGCCTGTAAATGAGTGAAAACTGCAGAGTTCTGGCCATTAGAATTAGCTCGTCTGTGTTGGGACATTCTTTTGAACAGTGCTTGCTTTGTTTCCCCGATGTATAACTGGTCGCATGTCCTCCTGGCACTTAACAGCATATACAATATTGCTCTGTTTGTGCCGGGGCACCGGATCTTTGGGGTGAACCAGCCTTTGCCGTAATGTGTTTTGGGGTTTGAAAGCCACTGGGACATCATGTTTAGAAAATAAATGTCTCAGTTTTTCCGAAACACCCGCAACATACGGAATAACCACTGGTTTGGGTCTGGGTTTGGGGTCTTCATTTTCACCTGAAGGTTGCATGGAYTCCTGTCTGTGTTTCCTGTCTGCTTTCAGGAAAGCCCAGTCAGGATAGCCACACTGCTCCAGGGCCTGTCGTGTGTGTGTGATCACCTGAGATACTGACACAGGACTGAAGAGAGATTAACTGGGGAAAAACTCTGGAAACGTCTGGAAACACAGGAGGAACAGACCAAACACCGTAAGAAATAACCATGAAAACAAAACTCAAAACCACTGATCATTTTTTATAAGACAATATTAATAATAAATTCTGCAATTTTTAACCGAAGACAATAATGTGTATGGAAGACTGAAACTGACATAAATAAAAAAAATATATCCATCCATCTTCTTCTGCTTGTTCGAGGTCAGGTCGCAAGTGTTCAAAATAAAAAAAATTTAAAGCAAAAAAATATAAATGGCCCAATAAATAATACACTTAAAGTGCAAATATTATTTTTAAAATGGAGAACTTCACCTCATGTTTGTAATTTAACCTTCATATTTATTTCTCTAACTTACTTCTAATAAATTATATATTTTAGCACATAATTTAACAGTTTTTTTAAATATATGTCTTCAATTTTTTTATCTCCTTATTTTTTCCTCAAAAGTTATTTTTATTTACATTGTTCCTTTTTCTGTTTCTWTACAGATATAAACAAGACAAACAGTAAAAACTAAAAAAGAAATTCAGCAAAGGCAGAACACAAGGGTGTCCAAACCTGGTCTGTGAGGGCCTCTATTTTGCYTATTTTACTTGTTTCCCAGTTCCAACACATCRGATTTAGTGACTAAATTACCTCTTCAAGTTCTACCAAAGCCTGTTAATCACAATTCAAAGTTGTGTTGGYGCACAGAAACCTCTAGAACAAACTGGATAGAGGCCCTCAGGACAGGACATCTCTGACCTGACAGAGAGAAATCTCTCTTCAGCTGATCAAGTTTTTAGATAATAACAGAACAAGCCTGGTTCATGCTGAAATAGCCTTTTAGGTTTGCCAAAGTGCTGCTTTTAGTATAAACTGTCTTTGAGACGTTTTTACTTGTTGACAAAACAGTCACCTCTTGAATTTTGAAGCCTTTTTTTGACAATCAATAAAAGAAAAACTTTAAAAAGCCTTCAGAAAACGTGCAAAACTACCACTTTGAAAAGTCACAGGAAATTTTATTTAAAACATTTTTAATGACATGCAAAACTGATTTCACAGCCGTTTGGATTAGTGTGCACATCTAATTTTACATAAGTAAACATGTAAAGCAGCCTATCGCTAATGTTGCTGAAGCTGGGGCCATTTTATGTCAACTTGAACAGGAAAGCAGTGTGAAAGAAACAGGAAAGTCTGGGTTTCCGTTCACATTATTTCTTATCGACTTCATCAAAAAGTGAAGTCGAAGCCAAATGAAACAATACGACACCTCCTTATTACACAACGCAGCTCCTCTGCTCTAACTTATTTCAGCAGAAGCGCAGATCCTTGGAAAGCTGAAATAATAGACACTGACCGGAAATTACATGTGTTGGCATTTCAAAATAAAGGTGTGACATCAGGGTTTGTAGTGAGGCTGTAGAGTTTTTGGAACTGAAATAGCTAAACTATTTTTTTTTTGGAATTGGTGTGAAAGACGGTTCAGCATTTGTTTATCCACTGTTTACCCATGGTTTTTGAAGTCTAACTTACTTCTGCATTTTTATCCTTTCACATCAAAATATTCATACAGGGGAGATGGGAGCTATGGATCTAGTAACTTACGTACTTTCACACAATTCAACTGTATTCACTACTAGCATTATTAGCAAACTTTTTGTTACTTTGATTTAGCCTACCATTTGCTACTTTGAATTTATTATTTTGCTATTTGTAGCCTGTCTAAACTAATTTAGCTTTTTTGTAACCCTTTGATTTTTAGGCAGTGTTTTGCCTTTTTAATTTTTTTCAAAAAGTTTCATTTTTTTCAGCAATGTCAAACTAATTTTGCACGCATACAGCATGTGCAGACAACGCAATTGTTTTACTTTAATTTGAAATTCATCCACCAGAACTGGCACTTTTCGACACTCCAGACAGCTTTACGGTGTGTGAAAAAACGCGATGAGAGCAGGCAAGCAGGGCTTCATGGGATGGGAACAGAGGAGCGTGTCTCATGCAGCGTTTGTGGTCTCTACGACACTTTTTATCGTAGCGGAGCCGACACACGCACACAGAAACCCCGCATGAGGAGCAGCAGGCGGACCGAGACTCAGGAGGGGCGCTGCGGGGACTCTGAGAATGGGAGCGGTGAAGTGAAAACCGCCGAAGAGCTGCTCAGACTGCGTGGAAGAAAAGCAACTAAGTAAGTTTTACTCACAACGGAGTGTATCTTGAAAAAAAAAAAAGAAAGAAAAGAAAAAAAAAGTAAGAACACAAGTTGTACAAATGTTCTGCTGAGGTTAAAGTTCGGCGGTAAAGTGTCGGAACCAGAGGCAGAAACGTAGCGGGACTTGTGTGGTCAGATCAGGTTTCACGGTTCGCCTCTCCGCCCCTGGACTTGTCCGGACTGAGCTGACCAGACCGCAGTCTGCTCAGACAGAGCAACGATGAGGAGTCCAGAGAAACGTGAGTGCTGTGTGGGCCGAAGAGCTGGCGATGCGCGGCGCGGGAGAGCAGACGTCCAGCTGTGCTGACAGCTGGAGAGGGGCGGGGTTCACTCCGGTCCTGTGCGGGGATTGTTTCAGATGTTTCTGCAGCGCCCTTTGCCACGTTACGACTGCAAGACATCTGATCTGCAGAGAGGTGCCCGAGCAGGGTGTGTGTGTGTGTGTGTGTGTGTGTGTGTGTGTGTGTGTGTGTGTGTGTG